GGGCAAATGGTGGAAGTACACTAGCAATCAAATTGGGGTGCCGTAGGAAGCATTCACTACTGCTTTCCAACACAAATACCTACTTCCTTCTACTAGGGAGAAGTTGAAGCAACAATTTAAGAAACTCAATTAATTAAGCAGATCTGTGGTCAAGTTAGAATCGACTTTGTAGAGGGTTAGAAATTAAACCCTAAACTAAGTATGGACCCAAGCACTAAGATCGCCCTGAGAAGGTGACCAGGGATAAGAGAGGAACGTAGGCCAAAGCCCAAGGGAAGTGGGCCAACAAGTGGGCCGAGGTAGGTCCGACCCACCAAGGCTCCAGATGGACTCAACGAGAAAAAATGCCCAAGTCAAGTTGCAGAGGCCACACCTGTAACGATGAAGTCGCTGAGGGGATATATGTAACGGCAGAGTTGCTAAGGCACTTTGTCTCATCGCCGCCATTCCTATTAACTTCGGCTCTGCCACCATTAGAAGTTGTCGAGGGGATATGTGCAGCGGCAGAGTTGCTGAGGCACTTTGTCTCAGCACCGTCATTCTAAGTATCTTTGGTGCCGCCGCCATTCCAAGTAATGTCGATGTCACGATCGCTTGGAGCTGCCGAGGGAAAGGGGTAACCGAGGCCACCAAGTTGCTAAGGCAATACTTGCAGCGCCCAAGCTGCACAAGCATTATGTCGGTGCCGCCATCTCTAATATCCTCGGTCAGGCCATTTGAACTTGCCGCGGGAAAAGACTACCGCAGCAACTAAGTTGCAGAGGGAATACCCTGCCAAGGTGATAGTAGCCTTTGAGGAAGGCTTCCTTCTACAAGTAGAGGCTAATGCTTGGCGCTGATAGCAGGCCCCAAGGCATTACTAGCCTAGGGCTGATAACAGGCTCCACAGTTTATTAACTTGGCGCTGATAGCAGGCCCCAATACTTACTGGTTGGAGTTTATAGCAGGCCCAGAAATACTAGTTTACCACGGTAACCCCGCGAAGATGGAAGCAAGGAAGCCCGAACATAAGGGACTCCCTTTCCATTACCCAGGTCATGGACCTACCTTAGTTGTACAGGCAGGACTAAGGAAGCCCCCTTGGGCTTGGTACTAAGGCACAGCATGGCTGATAGCAGGCTTGGCTGTGGCCTTCACCCTAGGAAGCTGGGGAGTTTGTGGTTAGGTGGCTAAGGGTGGAGGCTTCGCTGAGGTGAACACGAACGTAGTCGATAGCAGACTAATGGAGTCTTGAGAATGCATGTACTGGAAAAATAGAACTGAGAAGGCAAGTTTAACGGCGAGGTTCACCGCTACAAGTGCACTTGCTGAGGTTTAAGCTAAGAAGGTGAGTGTAGAGGCAAACACTCCCGCCACAACTGCACTTGCTGAGACTCAAAAGGAAGTTGCAGCGCCAAACACTCCCATCGCAACTACACTTGCTGAGGCTCAAAAAAGGTAGTTGCGGAGGCAAACAGATAGTACACAGTACATGCAAAGGGGCACGTGGCACCTTCAGCCTGGTGGCTTAAGGAAGAATATTCCATGTGATCCCCTAGGACACATGTCTTCTCTCTATTTGGCCACTTGGTGTCTTTTTGGCACCAAGGAAAAGCCTATAAATAGGATCCATTTCCCAAGGTTTAAGAAGAGGAATTTTGGGGATTCGGGGGAGATGCTGCCCAATTTGGCACTGTCGTACACTTCTTCTTGAGCCACTTGCTTCACCCCCACGCAGCTACACACTCTCCAATTCCCAGATAGTTGATGATGTTCATTCTCAAGTCACTTCTCCCATTATTGGACCATCAGCATAGTTTTGCCTCTCTAATCACTTCTCTAACCTTGAACCCCTCCACATACTTTTACTAGTTTGTCCCAGTTTGCACCGGAGTTGGTGGCAATGGAAGAACACCATTGTATCAAGTTTGAGAAGAGGTTAAGGACAAAGATCAAGTTTAAGGTTGTCGGGAATATGATCTGGAACTATAACCGCCTTGTTGAGGTGACAGCACATATTGAGCTCACCATACTAGCGGAGGATGAGAGACTTCAGGGTTTGAAAAAAAACAAAGTAGGAGCCTCAAGGGGACTTCAGAAATAGCAAGAGGCAGAGGGGTTCCGCTTTATCTCAACCTCAGTCATAGTAGACTAGGCCTACCTTTCCAATGTCCGGTATTGGTTCCGGAAAGAGCATTCATTGTGGAGTCACTTGTTTCAAGTGCGGTCAGTTGGGTCACAAATCTATAGCTTGGCCCCAAAAGGAAGGAGGGTAACAATAAATGCTACCACTACCACCACTTACTTGTAAGCCAAGGGCTATTGATGTATGGGTGTGAACACCATTTTGTGTAACCAAGCAAGGCCTTAGAATTTGTAACCAATAGGGCATCCTTTTGTATTTGACTTATTTTAAATTTCTATTATCACATACTATAGATTCATATTCTAGAAATGGGGAATATACAAATGCATGTAATTATTTTTGTAAATCTCATTGGGAAATCATGAACAAAATATAGGGAGCTTTAGTACTTACATTGATGAATGAATTATCTATTGTTCTACATATTAATGATGGAATAAATGGGAACTATATCACTTTATAAGTTAAATTGGAATTATAAGATGTCAATATTTTTGGGGCTTTACATATAGGAACAAAATAATTTCTTGTCAAAAAAATTTTCTTTTTTAAATGAAAATTTTGATCCTAAAAAATAAAAATGGACAAATTATGACGGTAGTCTCTGCACTTCACTCTTTGTATCATTTTAGTCCTTGTACTTTTAATTGGCTCGATTTGGATCCTAAATTTATGATTTTGTCTAAATTTGATCCAATTAATTATAACTCTTAGCATTTTTTTATAGAAAATACGCACATAAATGTCATGTGCCGTATTTTTAAATGAAAAATTATAAACTTCATATCTCTTCCTTCTCCTTGTAAAAGAAGGAAATAGTCTTATTTGTACTATGAGCTAACCTAATTCTATGACCAAGTTGAGTACATCCTAATAGCATCTTTTAAGCCCTATAATACGAGGCATTAGAGTTATAGCCAATTGTTAATAAACTCATGATAAAAAGGCTTATAAACTATTGAACTTCTTTTTAGTAACTAACTTATGAAATAAGATAACTTAGCGAGGGCTTCCTCTCTGTTTTGCTCACCTCTCCTATACCTGCAATGATAGGAAAAAGTGTTAAGCAAACACTTTCTATCATGGCAGGGTTACAGGGTATGGAGCCGTTTTCACTTTCGAGATAAGATTCTCTGTGATGGCACAGTTGCATGCTAGCGCTTCCAACGTAACTAATGTCTCTATGGACAGACCATCAATGGAAACCTTCTCGTGTACCCTCTCTTCTGAACCTATTGTCATCCTCTTGCCGAACTCGCTTTTTAGGGTTGCCATATCAACCTTACTCAACGCAATTAGTTAATTTTAACTAATTTAGTGATAATTTTTTTTAAAAAAACTAACAATATTTATTAATCGGATGAAATTGAAACAAAATCTAAAATTATGGGTCAAAATTGAGTCAATTGAAAGTGTAAGAATCAAAATGACACAAGGGGAAAATATAAGGACCACCAGTGTAATTTTCCCAATAAAAATTTATCACTAAATGTCCAATTTGATTGTTAAAAATACAATAATAAAAATTTTGACAATTAAGATATTTCATTTTTTAAAAAGTGACTTTATCCCTAATTTTTATCTCTAAAACATTTGGTAATCTTAAATTATGTTTCATTCCATTCAAAATACAATACTATCAGTTTTCTTATCTTTCACAAACTCGCATAAAATCAATAAACCCTATTATTTTAACTAAAAAAATATAAGTTAGAACACCATACATATATATTCAAAATCACTAAATGATTTCAGACACTCATTCTAGAGGTTAATTTTTGAAACTTTTGGGCTAATAAACTCAAGCTTAAATCTTTTTGGACCAAAATAATATTATCTGTCCAAGACGTACATATGTCCAAATGTCACTTATTCATATACATGTCACTTATATGTCCAAATGTCACATATGTGTGCACGTGTCACCTATCTATTCATCTATTTATCCATTGTCATTTATCAATCCACCTCATTGCCCCTAGCTGACACTGTCGGCCATTGCTGGAGACTTATCAACTAACATTTCAACGCCGATAACTTTTTCGACAACTTTTCAACAAACATCTTTATCACCAAAAAAACAAAATAAATAAGCCTTAGGGCATCTCCAACGATTTACCATTTTTTTCATCAAATCTGAGTTAAAAAAATATGAGTTCCTCAATCTGATATTAGCCACTCCAACGGTGTACTATAGCTTTCATCAAAACACAGTGGACGTCCGAGGGGACGACTGGCCGGTCAACCGGATAGGGAAAATGAATTTTTTTTCCCTTCGTTTCTGTTTCCTCAATTTGATTCCCATTTCTTTTTCCCTTCATTAAATCTTTTCCATTTTTTTTTTTGCCTCCAATAATTATTTCCTTCCAAAAACTAATATAAACAGATAAACCCATGTACTACATAAACCAGAAAAGAGGTACATTATATCTGGAACCATCCATAACTGAAACCAGAGCATAATGACTAGCTAAAGTTCTTACGTGTTCACTTTATTTTCATCATCTTCTTCTTCCTCATCCTCTGATGATAAGTCTGATGATGAAAAAATTGTCAAACTTCTGGATGTTTATGAGATAAATAATGCTAATATGATACAAATTCTGATAAAAAGTGATCAATTAAAGAAAAGAGATGGTTCTGTTGTAGGACATAATTACATATGTCGTGATAGATAGAAGGGTCATGAACGATTGTTTGTAGATTATTTTGCGACAAATCTAGTTTATTCACTTGCGACATTTCGGAGATGTTTTAGAATGTGTCGTCCTTTGTATTTGCGAATTTTGAATGCCATTGAAGCACACAATCCATATTTTGTTCAAAAAAAAAAGAGGATGCAGCTCATATCCTCGAATTGTCTCCACTGCAAAAGATGACTTCAGCAATGAGAATACTGTCATATGGAGTGGCAATAGATGTAGTTGATGATTATGTACGTATTGGGGAAAGCACGACAATTAAAAGTTTGCAATACTTTTACAATTCAATAATTGAAATCTTTGGACCCAAATACCTTAGATCTCCAACAACAACTGATATTGCTAGATTACTTGTTATTGGGGAGGTTCGTGCATTTCCGGGTATGTTGGGAAGTTTAGATTGCATGTATTGGGAGTGGAAAAATTGTCTAATGGCATGGCAAGGTCAATACGTAGGCCATCAAAAAAAGCCAACCATCATTCTTAAAGCAATAGCTTCTTATGACTTGTGGATTTAGCATGCATTTTTTTTAATGCCGGGATCACACAATGACTTGAATGTGTTGGGTCGATCACCTTTATTTTCTGATTTTGCCCAAGGTAAAACTCCGCTTGTCCATTACACTATTAATGGACACACTTATAATATGGGCTATTACTTTACTAATGGTATATACCCTCAATGGGAAACATTGGTTCAGACAATCTCTTCTCTCCAAGAAGCAAAGAAGCAACAATTTGCAATGATGCAAGAGTCAACAAGGAAGGATGTAAAGCGAGCATTCGGAGTGTTCCAATCCCGATTTGCAATTGTAGGTCGGGCCGTTCATTTTTGGGATCCCAAAATGCTTGGTAACATAATGAAGAGTTACGTTATATTGCACAATATGATCGTCGAAGATGAGAGAAATGAGCCTCTTGATTTAAATTATGAAATTTTATCAATCAACTCACTAGTACTACTTTCGTGTAGCAGTAACAATGACTTCCAATCATTTATGTCCCGTCATTTAGGTATTAGAGATAAGAATGCATATCATGCCCTCCGCAATGATTTAATAGAACATATGCGGCATCTTCATGGTGAAAACTAACTTCCCCACGTGAACGAGAATATGAACTTTTGGTTGGCTTTTTCGATTGGAAAGTGATTACGCAAGGATTTATGTCAGTGTTTGTTGCTGCTCTTAAACTTCATTTACACACATCATTTTTTTTGTTACTCAACTATTTTCAGTGTTTGTTGTTGGTGCTCTTCACACTGCACATAGCCGTTTTTTTTAGTATTATTGGTTCGTTAACTTTGTCATTATCAAAAATAGTGTGAATTTGTTAACAATGTACTGATGTCATAATTTACTGATGTTGTGTTCTGATATGGCTTTGGAATACTGATATGGATGCCTATAACTACTTTTCAAAATTTTGTATCTACATTTGTTAAATTACAAATGACTCATGATTGCTATATATATCCACCATTTATTAAATTACAAATGAATGTCTCAGACTTCACAAATGAATTACAAAAATGATAGACAAATGAATTATATATTGCAAATGAATTACCAGTAAATTTGATATATACACAACATTTGAAAATTTAATACCTCTGTACAATCCAACTACTTCACCATCATATTAGAATGTAGACTTGTTTGCTCGGTTTGGTGAATGCCTCATGAAACACACACAACCATTCAACTACTTCATTAAAGAAATTGACCCACCTCATTACTTCCCTCCACCACCTACCTCATTTAAAGCTATTAACAATGCACTCTATATAGACATAATGCCTTGCAGAAATGTATGTCATTATTTGGTGAAGGAAGTGTACATCATGCAAAGAAGCAGTAACTCAAAGCAGCAAAAATTGAAAGCAAAATCTGTACCAAAATCGATCAATCGGGGGGTCAATCGGTGGGTTGACCGGCCAGTCAACTGGCCCTGTTTGTTAATTTCATTTTTCTGTGTGCACTTCTTTTTCTGTTGCACTTCCTTTTTTTGTGTTGCACTGCCTTTTCACACCATTTGGTCACCTCACACTTAATTTCATCACCTCTAAAATTCACCATTCCCATTTAATACATTCCCAATTAAATTCAACATATATTCACATCACATTTTTTTTTGATGAATTTGAAACATTTATTAAAATAAAATATATAAAAAAATTTATTTTGCCTCCTAAACTATACCTCGATAATCAGTTTAACCCCTGTACTTATAGAGATACCAAGAGTGGAAAATGGAGCAAGAAAAAGCGAGAAGTGCGTGGGGTGGCTGGATTTCAATTCTTCAGCAAAGGCCATGAAGGAATGGGGAAGCTCAAGGAATTCTAACAGTGTTTGTGGATAATATACCAGAATCTATGGACCCAAAAGGTTTGTTTGTCTTGTTCTCCAAGTTTGGGGTGGTCAAAGATGCCTTTATTCCAAACAAGAGAAGACAAGCAATGCGCTCTAGGTTCAGTTTTGTGAGATACAATTGCTCGATGGCAGCTAGTATGGCGATCCAGAAAGTAAATGGGTTATAGGTTAATAATAGGGACCTGAAAGTGAAATGGAAAAGTTTGGTAAAGTGGATCAACTAAGAGGGGGTCAACCAGCATTTCAGGGGCGGGGAGAGAGGGTAGTGAATAATGTTGGAATCAACAGTAAGGCGAGGATGGAGTCACGATCTTATGCTGACATTGTTAAAGGGAATGAAGGTTGGAGAGGTAAGAATCTTATTGTAAGAACAGAGGAGGCTAGCAATGGTTGGTAGCACGAGAGTTTGATTGTTAAGTTGAAACCATATTGCATATTGCCAGAATTCAAATAGGAATATGAGAAAAGATGAGTGAAAGATCCTGTATTCCATGAAGGTTAAGGGAAATTGGTGGTAATTACATTCAACTCAAAAGAGGAGATGAAGTCTGAAGTTAGTAGAATGAAGGAGTGGCTTTATGTATGGTGTGATTTTGTATTGAAGTGGAAGAAGGATATGGTTTGTAGACGCGCCCGCGAAGGGGCCTTTGCTACTACAGTTCGGACTTGATTTTGGGTCGTGGTTCTTAATCTTGAACTAAAGAGTCCAAATCTGAAAAATCGTTTTGAGAAAAAACAGATTTTTGAAAAAGTAGTGCCAAACATGGACTGCTTTGCCAGATACAGAGTCGCCACCTAAATATTTTAAAATGGGAGAATTTAGGAAACCCTGACTCGGTGTCGAAGGCCACATGTCCGTTATCACCGGAGTTGTCTCGCTCGGGAGCTTGGGTACGATCGGGGAAGGTCAGCTATGAGCACCCCCTTTCGCCCGGTCCGAAGACCGGCCTCTACTAACCATGATATCCGTTTTTGAAAACATTATATGTTCTTATTTCAATTATTAGCCTAGAATTACTATGTTATGCGCGCAGCAAACAAGTATAGACTAGATTGCCTAATTTGGAAATAAGCATTGCATATCCGTTTGTTTTGAAAAATGTTTTGGATTTGCTACTCGCAAGTAGGCTAAAACACGGATTTCAATGAGTTCTTCCAACTCAAACAATCCAACCTTCACCCACAGGCATTCAAGCAATTTATCACATAAGCATTTAGCCGCATGGCAAGCATACTGTCATGGCAACACTCACACGCATGCGGGATGCTAAAGCGTAAATACTTACATCGTACTCCGTGCCCAAAATAGTAAACTAGTTAGCAAACATGCATGTCTTAGTTCATGTTAAGAATGGCTAATGCATCGCATGCAAAAATGTAATCTAGACAGACTCGGCTAACCTAAACATGGCATTTGAAAATGCACAACCACATGTATTCAGTTTGGAATTTGAAATACAGATGTAGTTAGCATGATTGCGCGAGCCCGGTGCATGTAAAACAAATGGATGAATGCACGCATGCATTACATGAGGTATGTTAATTTAAACGTCCCCTAATCTGCCATCATAAGCAGGTAAATAAAAAGGGAAGAAAGACTGAGGTTGGAAGACATACACACACTCACGCACGCTTATTACAGATTTGCCCTCGCTCAGAGGACCGAATAAATATTACAAATTAATTAACTACGCAAGCTAATTAATATTACAAATTGCCTAATTAATTAAGCAAATTAAATTAAGCTAAGAAAACAGTAAATCGCCTCGGGAAATGCGCCGCCATGCATGAGCTGCCTCTGTTTTCCTTCCTTCACTCCCTCAGAGGTTGTCAAAACCTCAGGACTGCTTCTCTAGACATTGAGGAGTGCCACCGGCTGAATAGAATTGCCACCGGCAGTGTGGTGTAGTCACCGGCACAAGATGAATCCATCGGCTGCTAGTTTACTGGCCGGTCGCAAGGAATGCCTGCAGAACCTGCAATTGACAGCAACAGAGGGCAAGGCAAAGCATGGCAGCACAATTCAAAGCATGTATGCACCATTCATGTCCCTTATCATGTTTGTGACTCAAAGGGCATGTGTCTCGATTCTCGGACCACCAATCACGCATTTCCATGCATGATGGCCCCAGTGATCAAGTATGCAACTTTCATGTCAAATGAAATGCAAACCAAACACACAAATCAAGGCCCAATTCCTATCATTAAGTCAAGAAACAAGGCATGCATGCAAGATGCAATGCAACCTAGGCATGCAAGCTAAGGATGCAACATGGCATGGCAAGGCACCTTGGCAAGCATACAAGACATGAGGCAATGCAAATGGATGAAAAATGGACTTAAACATGATTGGCAGCTCTAAATAGGCCCAAAACAGTGGCCAAAGTGCTATAAAATGAGGGCTAAATGGCATGCAACTGCATGCACACAAGGACCGACACTTAAGCATAAAAAGGCGACTCTCAACACACTTGGGAGAGGCATAATGTGGGCTAATGGCATGCAAAGTAAACAATGAATATGCATGAATTAGAGGCTCCAAACCTACCAATTAACAACAAGCAATGCATGCTAGCATGATCAAAGCTCAAAGCAAGCTAAAGGGAGTATTGAACTACTCTTAGCAAGACCAAACATGGCATGAAAGGAAGGACCAAAATTAGGGGTTTAGCATGTTAAAACAAAGCTAAGAACACAATGACATGAATCTAGGCGGCCTAAACATGGTGGCATGCATGAAGGCACGAACATGAGCATGGATGACACCTTACAAGGCATTAAAGGACATCAAATGCAAGCTTACAAGCATACTATAAGGTCTGAAATGACATGGTGGATGGTCCCAAATCACCAAATCAATGCAAAAATGGCATGCTTACACACCCACATACTTAAAGGCCAACAAGCCAAAATGCAAAGAGGCTTATATGATGCTGCCAAATCCGACCCATACAACCTAGGACAGACCTAGAACATGGAAAATATGCACATAATCTTCATCAGACTAAGCCTAAAACATGCTTCTAACAAAGGCTAACAACCTAAGCACATTGAGGCAATAACATGGCATTACATGGTAGGTATGCTAAGCATGCATGGTGCTACCTTTTAAAATGTTCTTTTGGATGGCGTCTATACATACTCAACACACACTCAAACATAGGCTCCCTCAAGAGGCCAAAAATGGGTCCATTTCAAAGACAACAAGGAGAGGGGGTGGCCCTCCCCTTTTGGAGACTTCAAGGCACCATCTTCACCACTAAAATCCCTCAAGATTTCAGTGGTGAAGAGGCCCCAAACACCAAGTCTCGAAACTGCCAAAATAGCATCAAAATGGGGCCTTTCAAGCTAAGAGGGGTCAAACACCTCCAAACCACAAAACACTCTTAATAAACAACCAAGAGGGCTTAAAAACAGAATTTTTTTTGTATTATACACTAAGCTCAAAAATGATTTAAGATAGGTAGAAATACAATGCCAAGATTGGGGAATAAAAAGGCTAGATTCTTACCCTTGAAGACCCCTTCACAAATGGTGCTCCAATGGCCCTCCTTGGCTTGAATCCAAACCCAAAACTTCAAAATCAGTCCTTAGAACCTCAGTTTCAAGAGGAAGGTGAAACACTAGTGCTTGTGTCAATAGTTATGGACTAAAACACACACAAGAGTAATATAGAGATAGGTATGCGTATGTAAACTCAAAACCCTAAAACCAGAGTTTGGTTCTGGTGTTTTCTCTCCCTAAAATGTCTAAACTCTCTACCTTAAGCACAAGAGAGAGCCCCTCTCTATATAGCAGACTTCTTGTTTGTAAAGCTTACAAGACAAGCTCATAAGAGAGGGAGATCCCTCCATACATGTGTATGGAGGGGAGCAAAAGCAAGACAGCTGTCTTAAAATATCTGCAAAAGCAGGCGATGCACAGTAGTCGGCCGGCAAAAATGCCATTTGGCAAAAGAGGTAGCGACCACCGCAGCAAAAGTGCCGACTGCAACAAAATGTGCCGACCGGGTAACAATAGTGCCGATGGCAGAAAAAACCAGCCGCCGTGCCTCTCTCGCGCTCGCTGCTCCGTCGCGCTCGCTCAAGATTCCTGCCCCTCCCCGCGCCAAGTCGCTCTTGCGTGTCGCAGTCAAGTTCGGAGATCCTGAGGCAAGGCGCGCGAGCCGAGACCTCCAGGAACTCCAAACGAACACAAACATGGATAATCACCCAGTGTTCAAACGGTGACGTCCAAGTCTTGAGGACGGTAAAAAATGGGGTGTCTACATGGTTATTCAACAGGAAATAGCAGTATGGATAAGTTGCTATGATGTTCCGTTTAATTTGCAGAGTTCAATTACTTTCAGAAACATTAAAAATTTATGGGGTCAGGTGATAGGTATTGACAATGATACTCTGCAAATGACATCGTTACAGTGTGGTAAAGTAAGAATAGCCACAAAGATGATAGAGTCTATTAACATGGTGATTATGCTGGCATGTAAGGATAAGTTATGTCCTATTAGAATCTGTGAGGAATAAGTAATCATAGTTAATTCTGATAGTTGAGAGGATCCACAAATGGGAGAACGGTCATCGTATTGCAATGGAGTGAAAACCTCTTGTGAAGAAATGGTGAGTACTGCAGAAACTCCAAGGATGGCAAGGAGGAGGATGATGAGGTGGAGGTTGAGCTGGCAGGTGAGGTGGACAATGAAGCTATGTTGTCACCAGTTGAAAAGGGGTGTAACATTAATGAGGTAGAGAGGAAGGCAAAGAATATTGATGACATAACGGTCTCCAGAGTTAATGAAATAGATAGTGGTCTGGGGATTGGAGGTGCGGGTGGCGCATGCATGGAGATAGAGAGGCGTTTGTCTGATATTCAAATTCAATCTGATAATGAAGGAAATTGACAAGTTGTTGGTCATGTTGATAACGTGGGCAGTTTGAGAAGTTTATGTGGATCAGAGTTGGAGTGGCCCAATATTAATCTTGAAGTTGTCATTGGGCTAGCCCATGATAATGGGGTCTTAAATACAGTGTATAGTGATCAAGGTAGTGATCCAAAATCCATTAGGTTGGTCCTGGAGGTGGATGATATGATTTCAAAGGATAATAGAGCAGGTCAGTTGTTTATTCAATCAGGGAAATCATAGTTGGAAAGGTCAGAGATAGGGGTGAATTCTTCACAAAGAAATGGAGTTCAGAGCAAAGGGAAAAGGAAAGAAGTGGTGGCTCAGCATACAGTACAGTGTAAAGCTAAGATCACAAAGAAACTCGGTAGAAAATGTGAAGTTTCTGGATATAAGATTGATAAAGGTGATATAATTCAAGCAGCGATTATCGCTGTCTCCTACTCTAAATTACAAGTGAGTAGCGCAAGTAGGGCTGGGTATCTCCTGAATGAAGCCCAGGCAACCATATAAATAGGGAAATTATTGGGAATTGACTTCAAAGAAAAGGAAAATGAGGTTATTGACAAATTAATGGAACTTGAAGAGAAGGATTTGGAGAGAGCAGAGGCTATAAAGGGAGAGGCAAAGCAGCCCTAAGAAGTGTGAGTAGGGGATTTTGGTGTATTGTTTTGGTTTTGTAATGAAGATTTTAACTTGGAATGTTAGTGGTTTGGGTAGGTCTTGTAAGAGAAAGAAGATAAAAGAGTTAGTTAGAGAAAGGGGTATAAATATGGTAATGTTACAAGAAACAAAGAGAATAGAGATGTCAAAACATTTTGTTAAATAAATGTGGCCATGGGATCAGTTTAAATTCTTGTATGTGGGTGTAGAAGGGAGTGATGGGGGTCTTATTTGCATTTGGAAACCTGAGGTGTTTGCCATGGTTGATTGTTGCTACAACAGAAGTTTCATTCTATTATCAAGTATTTTCTATAGCTCTTTTAATTGTGTGGTTGTTAATGTATATGGGCCGAATGATGTTGCAAAGAGAAGGTTTTTGTAGGATGTGCTGCACAACCTTAGGGATTTTTTCCATTATCCATGGTGCTTGGGAGAAGACTTCAATGAGATCAGATCCATTGGTGAGAGAAAAAGGTGTATACGGAGAGATAAGGGGATGAGAGATTTTGGGGAGTTTATTGAAAAAATGGAAGTTACTGATATTCCGATGTTTGGAAGAAAATATACATGGAGTAATTCCATTGATGGAGATAGGTGGAGTAGGATTGATAGATTTCTTCTCGATCCTGAATGGCTTGAGCTATTTGATTTTAAAGTTTGGGGTCTGCCTAGAATCTTATCTAATCATTGTCTATTGTTACTTACGGAGGACCAAAGAGATTGGGGTCCAAAGCCCTTTAAATTCTTCAATTGTTGGTCTTTACATCCTGGTTTCTTAGCTTTGGTTAAAAAAACTTGGGTGGAGGCACAGGTTTTTGGGTGGGCAGGTTTTGTTGTTAAGACCAAATTTCTCATTCTCAAATCAAAGCTGAAGAAGTGGAATATTGAGGTTTTTGGTAATGTTGAGTCAAAATTAAAAGTTGCTGAAGCAGAGCTTTATTCTCTAGATTTCGAGGCTGAGGGTAGGGATCTGAATGATCAGGAAGTTAGTAAAAGAAGAAATCTACTTGGAGAAGTATGGAGATTGAGAAAAATAGGGAAGTGGGTATGGCTTCAAAAATCTAGATTGAACTGGGCACTTAAGGGTGATAAGAACACTAGGTTTTTTCATGTAATGGCGAAAACTAGACAATGTAAGAATATGTTGGATTGTATTCAGGTTAATGGAAGAGATATTATGCAGCCCAATGAGGTAAAACGGGAGATAGTAAGGCATTTTAAGTGTTTGTTTACTAAGAGTTGGGTGCATAGGCCCAAGCTGGTCGGCATATTAAAATTTCTTAACACTGATTCAGTTGCTAATTTGGAGGTGGAATTCACTAAATTTGAAATGTGGGTTGCTGTTAAAAGTTGTGATGGGAATAAAGCCCCAGGTCCCGATGGGTTTAATTTAACTTGCATACAAAAATGTTGGAGTGTAATGAAGCATGATTTTATGAATTTCATGAAGGAGTTTCACGAGAATGGTAGGTTGGTTCGAGGCTTAAAATGATCTTTCTTTACTCTTGTTCCAAAGAAGCTCAACTCATCAAGTCTTTCGAATTATCGTCCTATCTGTCTTATTGGTGTAGTCTACAAAATTTTGTCTAAGGTATTAACATTTAGAATGAAGAAGGTGTTACCTGAGGTGATTAGTGAGAATCGGTCTGCATTTTTAGGGGTTAGAAATATAATGGATAGGGTCCTCATTGCAAATGAGATTGTGGATTGGTGGAAGAAGACAAAAACCAAGGGTGTCATTCTCAAGTTGGACTTTGAGAGGGCATATGACACTGTGAATTGGGAATATTTGCTTGATATGCTTCAAAGATTTGGATTTGGTTCTAGATGGATTGGGTGGATTGAAGCCTGTGTAACCTCTCATAGCATCTCGGTGTTGGTAAATGGCTCTCCTACAGTTGAGTTTCATCCTTAGAAAGGGTTAAGACAAGGTGATCCACTTTCACCTTTTTTTGTTTAATGTTGTAGCAGAGGGTTTGAATGTTTTGCTTTCTAGAGCTAAGGAGTTGGGCCTAATTAGAGGTGCTATCATTGGTCCCAGTGGTTTGGTTGTTTCCCATCTGCAATTTGCAGATGATACAATCTTGTTCTGTGAAGCTTATTGGAGTGAACTTATTATTATTAAGAGAATCCTCAGATGTTTTGAAATCATTTCAGGGTTGAAGATTAATTTTCAAAAAAGTGTTGTTTGTGGAGTTGGAATCACTGCTCAGCAAGTAAAGGAATTTGCTGAGAGACTGAATTGTTCTCATCAAACCCTTCCCTTGATTTACCTTGGTTTACCTTTGGGTGCAAATCCTCGAAGAAAATCAACATAGAAGCCTATTTTGGATAAGATCAAAGCAAGACTTGCAGGTTGGAAGAGGAAATTGATGTCTTATGTTGGTAGAGTTACGATGATCAAGTCAGTCCTATCAAGTCTTCCAGTTTACTTCCTATCTTTGTTTAAGATGTCTGAGTGTGTGGATAAGATGGTGGACAAATTGCAAGCCTTTTTTCTACGGGGTGGGTCAAATAATCATAGGAAGGTTCACCTGGTACGTTGGGGAAAGGTGACAAAGGCTTTATACCATGGAGGATTAGGGATCAGAAATAATAGAAAAATGAATATCTGCCTGTTAGTTAAGTGGTGGTGGAGGTTTGGGTTTGAAAAGATGGCTTTGTGGAGACAATTGATTAGTAATAATTATAGTCATGTGAATGGATCGTTTTTACCTTTTTCTGATGGTTCGAACTTTGAGTCTAGGATTTGAAGAGATGTAATGTCTGTGGCTGCTCTAATGCCAAATGTGGTTACATATTTTTTAGGTAATATTAATCTTGTTATTGGAGGTGATAGTAGGATTTTATTTTGGTGTGATAAGTGGATTAGTCAATCAAGCTTGGAGAATCAATTTCCTAGACTGTTTGGTTTATCTACTGAGCCCCATGGATCTTTAAAATGGAATGTTGATGGAAAGGTTGCCAATGGTAGGTGGATTTTGAATTTTAGAAGACCCCTTCGTGCTTGGGAAGAGGAGGAATTGCTTAGACTGACACAAATTCTAGGTGAGGGCCCAGAACCAAGGGCAAATAGTGTGGATCAGATTAGATGGTTGGCTTCTCCTTCTGGAATTTTTCAAGTCAGATTATTGTACGGGTGGCTTCAAACTGAAGAAGGTCATGTTGTGGAGCTATCAAAATTTATTTGGAACAATATAGCTCCTCCGAAAGCCAAATTTCTATTTTGGCTGGTGTGGAGAGGTAGACTTAAGACTACTGATTTCCTTCAAAGGATTGGGGTGCTAAGAGGTAATTCTGCTTCCTTGTGTCAGTTCTGTAATTCTGCCCTTGAAAATCTTAATTATTTTTGTTGCTCTACCCTTTTGCTTGGAAGATATGGTCTGATGTTGTTGCTTGGTGGCGAACTCAATAGGTTTCCCCTGGCTCTATAAATGAGTTACTTAATTGGTGGTTTGGCTTCAAGTTCAGGAAGAAGGAACTCAGGATCTGGAATGCCATTCCTATTACAGTGGTGTGGTCTTTATGGAGGCTCAAGAATGAGTGTTTATTTAGGGGAGCTCAACCAAATTTGGAGGCTTTATCTGAATTAATCAAAGTCAGAATGGCTTTCTGGGTAAAGAACCATCATATTGGCAGCATGTATTCATTTCATGATTTCATCTCTAATTTGGGTCTGATCCGTAGTTGCTTATGAGATTGTGGTGCTGGTTAACGCTGATAGTTGTTCCCTATTGCTGGTAGTTGTTCCCTATGCTGTTGGATTTGGTTTGTTTTTATTAGTGTACATGTAGTAGTGTGTGGTGTGCTGATTTTTTGGGTGGTCTGTGTTTGGAGATATGTTGTGCTGTGGTAGTGATGTGTTATTGGTATGTGTTACCCTACTGCAGATGTATTGGTATTGTTATTGCTACTGGTTTTGTCTTGGTGTAATTGTGAGTATGGCAGATGTCTTGGTCTAACTATAAGGTAGTGGTGTTTTTCTACTGTGTGCTATTCTGCTATAGCTATCTTGGGGTTCTTGCTGCTGCTGGTGGTTTTATTTTAGTGTGGTGTGCTAGTTTTGGTTTGGTATCAGTCTTTTGTGATGCTAAGAATTGCAGGCTGGGGTAAAATTGAGGTTATAGATTGTTACACTCAGTGCATCAATTGGAGTCTAATTTGCAGCAAATTTGTTGGTGCTTGGGTTAGTGGGTGTTGGACTTATGGTTGATTATGGTGGTTTTGGAGAACATGGTGGAGTTGAAATCTTGCAACTTGTTTTGTTCTACTATCTTCTGCTGTGTCATAGGGGAGATTATTTCAGTAGCAGAGTCCTGTTGTTTTGTTGTCAATGGTTATGTAATGCTCTTTGGCTGGGATGTTGCAGTGCTACTTTGGCTATTTTGGCTGGGATGCTGCAGTGCTATTTTCTGTTTTGGCTGCTATTTTTGGTATTGGGATGATGTTAGTTGTTGCTGATAATGTTTGCTACTACAGTGCTATCTTTGGCGTTGTTTTGTTCTACTTCTTGGTGTTTGTGTCTTGGTTTTGATATCAAAGGTTAGCTTGGTGGGCTGCTGCTATGTTTGTTTTGGTGGTGTTTTGTTTTGCCTTTTGCTGTTTTCTCTTGGCTTTGGTTGGTTTCTCACCAACTCTTGATGGTGTGCTAGTAAGTGATTGGGTGGTCATATTGGTGCCAACCTAGTTGGGATTGATATGTCTCACTATGATGTTCTTTGCACCCATCCTCTTTTTCCTTCATTTCTTGATGTAATAAGTTCTTTGTTCATCAATAAAGGTTTTTTTGCCGATCAAAAAAACATATATTCACATCATGTCTAGAATCAAAAGAGCAAGACCAGAACATGGTGAAGCCTCCAACCTTCTACCACGCCAACAACAGCCCCAAGGTTTAGCTTATTCTACTACTAATTTTCTCACTTACAATCATGAACAAGCCTTTCAAAGCTTCTCTAGCTGACCTATTGTCACTGGGAGAAGGGTTAATCTTCTTGCTCAATATGATCCTCTGTTGGTTAGCAAACTTGAGGCTATGAGGTGGCTAAATTTAATCAATTTACAACAAAAGGTATATCCTCGTCTTGTGTCTTTATTTTATGTTCACTTGAAATCTACTGATGAAAAGATAGACTTTAGTTTTGTAATTTATGTGAAAGGTAAGGCTATTGAGTTTGATATCACCATTTTGTCACAAATTATTAGAGTTAAGCAATGGCATATGTATATCTACTTTCACAGTGAGTCTGACCTACTTGATATCGTTAGCAACATAAGTGAAGTATATACTACTATTTGTGAGGGAAGATTTACTGAGAGGAGTTTACAAGCAAGACATTTGAAACCCCACCTTTGTATTCTCCATCGTTTTATAGTAGAAAATGTCACTCCCAAAAAAGCACATTTTGATGTTGTTACAAATTTTAATGCTTATTTGCTATATTGTTTTAAAGTTGGCCACAAATTTGATTTATGCTCCATACTAATGAAAGAAATAATGGTTGCAAATATTGGTCATATCACTGGCCGGTCACTAGTTTTTGGAGCTCTATTGACTAAAAGGCTCACCTTTAGTTATTGGATTTGAAAATGGATACGCTTGTTGCGTGGCTTTTTTGTGTTGTGTTCTAATTTCATCTCACTTACAACTTCGGCACAAAATATCGTAACTTGTATCAAATGTGAAGTGTTTTTTCTATATTGCATGATACATGCGACCTAAAAATGAAAATTATAAACATATCGATAACAATAGACTGAGCAGTAAAAAAATGATATTTAATAACAAAATTGGAAACTACCACATCTGCATCAATTGTTCCACTTTGTTGCCTCAATTGGATTTGCTCAAGAAAACCACAGAATTTATTAATTGCCTTTTGCATGACAGACCAACGGTGAGACAAAAAAATATGATTTCGATTTGATTTACTACTCAATTGTGAATTAAAATAAATGACTACTCGTTCCTAGAATATTGCCATGGTCTAACAATTACCAGTAATGGGATCTTGAGAGATGGTCAGCCAAGATCTACATAAAGTTTCATCTTCTATAATGGTGAACGCTTTACCACGAGAAACACGAGAAGTTTTCAAAATAAAATTAATATTAGTGTTTTGCTCTGAAATTTGCGATTCCTCAAACATTTCAAAATCTTCCATAGTTTGAATAAAAATCAATATCCAACACACACACTCAAATATATTGTAAAATAAACAAAAAAAGCGGTGGACAAAAATGTGAAAATTTGAAGAAATAATATACACTGAAGCTCACACAATGAGAAGACAAATGAAACAAGTGAAGATTGAAGTTAACCAGAGCACAAAGAAAATAGAAATTGTAATGATATTGTGAAATGTAAAATGGTGAAATCTGCCCCAGCTCCTCAGTTTGGTAAAAATTTTGGGCCGTTCTCAATTTGATATGATTTTGATAAAACTGTTGGAGACAAAAAAAAAAAAAAGGTGTCATTTTTCACCAAATTCAAATCTGGTGATGAATCTAGTGAACCATTGGAGATGGCTTTAGACGAAATAGTATATAGCTCTGTAAGTTTAAACTTTTCACCAATTAAACCAATAATTTTTCTATTGAATATTTGTATAAATTACACCATGTATAAAAGAAATTATTGATTGGTTCTGCGACACCACGTAATTATTTCCCAAACTAATTACAAATCCTTATGTCCCTCATATTTTCTAATTACTCAATACAAAATCATAAATTCTATCCTTCTATCAATGACAATGTATATAAAACGTCATGAGGTTTGTCCACAAATCAACCAATAACTTCTCCCTATCTAATGTCAGTGGGCTCGGCATCACATGATGTGAGGACGGCGGAGCCAATAAGGACTAAGGGCCACGTGCTCCTCTCAAAACTTTCAAATGTGAACTTTTACCT